TATTTTGTTTTTGGTGTATTTTGTTTTGTTTTTAGTGCATTTTGTTTTGTTTTTCGTGTATTTTGTTTGGAAGTCGGTTTTGTTTTTTTACGCCAAAGAATAAAAAGGTAAGTTATGAGCTAAAAAAGGTTATAAAGACAAAATTTTCTACGTGGATAGTTAGAAACTTACCTTCATATCCAAAGCTTTGTAGAATGCCTGCAAACAAATAGAATTATTACTTACAGTTTCATATCTTATAAAGGGAATTGTTTTTAAATTCGACTTTTAAAAATTATTTAATTTAACAAAAATAAAAAAAAGACTTAAAAGTGAAAGTCAAATAAAATTTCCAATCTATACTAGTATTATAAAGAGAAAAGATTTGTATTTTTTATGTGTTGAAATAATTCAAAAACTACTGGGCTAATTTTAAAAATTCTTTTACCGTTAAAAAGGTAATTTATCTGTGAGTAACATAGGCTATATTTTTTAATTTCACACAGGCGAAGTCTAGTAAATAAATAAAGACAAAGTCCAAATACATGGGAATCTTCGATAGCATTTCAGTTATCAAAATTAACTATAAAAGAGTTACATTTCCGTTATGAACCATGGCAACCGACGCCGACGCCATAAAATAATAAAAAAACCACACATATATAAACTCCTTTCTCTTTTGGCGCGAAAACGTTAAGCTGCAGCAACAGTACACTCCAACATTCAGCCAGCATTGCGGAGTGGATCGAAATGCGGGGAAAACATAACAAACTGTAGTCCAATTTAATACTACAAACTTACGCCTGTAACACACGAAGCCAAAATCTTAAAAATCCTTTCTGTATGTCCTCTCCTTTATCAATTACTTGCGTACTAACCGACGTTACGCGGCGAGTATTTACACAGTGGAACAAGGCGCTGCTCGTTGCGAATGTTACACCTCGTGTCAACACCACGTAACATCGGTCAATATGCCTTAATAAGGTACAGCAACCTTTGAATTTCTTGCAGATGTAGGGTTTGCTTGTTCGATTATCATCTTCCTCCTTTCCTACTCTCGTAGTGTCGGCGCGAAGAGTCTTTGTCCTCCACATAACTATAATACGCCATCTCAGTCATCACTTCCTTCTTGATCATGTCACCTTTCACGCAATACATCCATCTCTTTCTACGTCTTCCTCTCCTCTCCTCAGTGTACCTCCACACTCATAACCAACGTTACATGCGATTATATAAAAACATGATTCGGGGATCGACATCTACAAGAAGTTAAAAGGTTGCAGAATTACTTTTTTTTAATAGACAAAAGATGGCACACAGAAAGAGTATTCCCTATTGTGTGTTAAAGGTTTCATCCGAGCTGTAGTTTCGATTCGCTTTCAGGATAGTGTGTTCCAGGCATTAAAGTTACACGGCCGCAATTAAAACGCCGCGGCCACGCTAACGAATCGCAGCGACACTCCACAGCTCGAGTAGTCTGCTAGTGTCGGTACCGCTATAACGTTACGTTAAACGCTATTTTTTTGTTTTTTTTTAGCTTTTTAACTTTACCGTTTCACGGTCGAGTGATATCGCTTTAATTAAAGTGTTAATTACTTTTGCGATTGATATATTTGTATGCACGCTTGGAAAAACGCGTCTACGCTAATACTTAAAATTTACACTATTTCTTTGAAATGTTTTTTTTTTAATCTGAAATGCTTTATATGAATACAGCTTTGTACTGAGTCTCGTGAAATTACTGGATACAGCCATATAAATAGACAAAGTCATTTTGCCCATTAATTTCTATATTCATTGAAAAAATCTAACATTTTTTAAAGTACCAAGCAGATATGAAAAATGCCGCTTGATGCCTATAATTTCTGCTATACAGAATAGTTAAATAAATCGATACCGTTAGAGTGGTGATAAAAAAAACACTCAAAACCACTTCTGTTATAAAAATATCATACTATTGGATATACTATTGGATATATTATTGGATACTATTGGATGGATGTTAGAGCTTGGAGCCCAAACAGCTGAACGGATCTCGATGAAATTTGGCATAGATGTAGATGATAGTCTGGAAGAACACATAGACTCACATTTGTTTTTTTAATTCCACGCGGACAGAGTCGCGGGCGAAAGCTAGTATACAAATATAGTTAACGTTATTCATTCCCATCCCTAGTATGTTCTCATTACAGGGTCTCACATGCGTCGCTGACACGGCCGACACTTGGGAATAAATCAACACGGAGGCAACATCGTTAGAAAAAAAAATTATATTCGCCCACTGAATGTGGAAAAATACAGAATTATATCAAGTCTATAGTATGGCGGGAAATGACTGGAGTATTTTTATAGCATTTGAAATAATGTTTTTAGGTCTCGTTGATATTTTTCTTAGAATTCAAAAGCACGGTGGTATACCAAATTTTATCAGATAATACAGATATATATTAGATATATAAAAATATACCTTTTATTTTTTATCTGTCATAATAAATACAGATTTATTTTATTCTGGTTAGTTTATTGAAATACTAGCTGTTGCTTGCGACGTCGTCCCCGTGAAATTAAAAGATATAACCTATGTTATTATTACCTTTCTAATAGTGAAAGATTTTTTGAAATCGGTGCAATAGTTTTTTTAGTTAACTCAATACATAAAAAAAAATCTTTTCTCTTTATTATAATAGTATAAATAAATAAAATCCTTCATCATCCACTTGCCCTTATCCCTTACGGAGGGTCGGCACAGTATGTGCTGCTCTTCCATACATCTTTATCAGCCGTCATATCTGAATCCACTCCTTTCTTAAGCAAAATAGATAAAATAAATAAATAAATAAAATCCTTAATGAATAATTTAATATAATTTAAATTAAATAATTTTGTTTATTTGGAAAAAGTCAGTAAAGAAAAAAAAATCTAAAAATCTCAATAGGGGTTAAGTAGACATATTTTGACATAAAGCACAAACTTAACAAAGGTGCCATTTCTAAAGGAAAGAAACCCCTTCCTATTTGTAAAGCTCCGTCAATTTGCTGTCTAAGGACAAATATCCGACAGGTCTGTGTTTATTTTATAAACAAGGGAGCGAAATATCACGTGATTTACACTGTGAAAACTATTGTCGTCTCTTTCCTTCATTAAAAAAGACGGAGACAGTAACACATTACACAATAATTAAAACATCTGTTTGAAATTGAATAAGGATTTGTCGTGTATACTGTTATAAGAGGAAAGATTAGTATTTTTGTATGTATTGAAACTCAAAAACTACTGGTCCGGTTTAAAAAAATCTCTATTAAAAACTACGCTAAGCTAGCCGTTATCAATGAGTAACATATTCTACATTTTTTATTGTTTTTTTTAACTTCACGGGGACGAAGTCGCAATTATTTCATAGGTGTTTATGCTTTCGTTACATGAGCGATAACGATATATAAGAAAAGAAACGGAACTAATCAACGATGGCTTGAATTACCTCAAGTGTGTACACAATGTCAACGATTCCCGCAAGAAAACTGTTTCCGTTTCTAATCAAGGGAGGGAAGATGTTTAGATCTTATCAAAAACCCACCCTCCGTACCTTATCGTACTTTCTAAACAAGCCCGTATACAGAACAAACAAGTGAGAGAGAAGAATATAAGCCGTCTGCTTCTAACATAAGGTTATAAACAGTAGGTGCTTTTCAACAACAAATAGTGAAAACATTTTTTTATAGATATCATAGATCTAGTAGCTGTAGATTTATTTTTTTTAACATTGATCATTCATCGATGGTTGAAATTTAGTCGGCTCTAGTATGCCTTAGAGCGGGCGCACATCTTTGACTAAACTATCGCACAACTGTTGTGCGATTGTCGATTGTTTCACAACCAATACAACTGTTTAGATGCACTACTAAAAACCGAGTAGTGTGCGCACCATATAAGCCCATAGAAATCAAAGCGAGACTAAACAGTTATGCGATGGTTTAGTCAAAGGTTCTCGCGCACTTTTATAATGCGTTATAATAACTACCTCAATTAGTTATTAACTGGTCACAAATACCCTTCTAAGTATATTTGAGTATATTTAGTACTAGTCGCCCGCGACTGCGTCTGCGTAGAATTTAAAAATAAAAAAATAAGTATCCTATGTGTTCTTTAAGACTATCCGCTACATCTATACCAAATTTCATAGATATCCGTTCAGCTGTTTAGGCTACAAACTCTAACAAACATTCATCCATCTAAACTTTCGCTTATTAGTAAAAAGTAAGATTAGAATATCTAGCGACTGTAACCATGAAAACTAAGTTCAGCAATTTATTCTATAAAGCAGAATGAGAGGTCACATACTTATTCGAATATCTCATTTCCCAGCACCGCACAAAATAAGCACTTTTGTATAACGAATTGTGCATAGAACGAAAAGTGAGTGCTTGTTATTTTATTTTTTAAGTCTCCGCATAAACATTAAAAACATTGTAACTATTCTACGTAACAGTATGAATGTGCAAGTGTTTCCAGACGGAGATCATTGACGGTGGAAAAAAAAATCTTCGCGTACCGAGTTACGACTCAAAATGTCCCCTTAAATTTGTTTAATTCCAGAAAATTCCCCGCCAACAAGTGCGCGTTCTTTGGTTTCGATTATATTCCGCGTCGTTTGCCGTCTAGAATATGAAAAATAGAAAATATTCCACATTTTTTTTAAATGCCGACTTGAATACTCAACAGTGGCACGGTTCGACGTTTGGAGAACTCGACGCGAGTGATACGTGGGTAGTTTTTAAAAATTAGACTCTAAACGTGACTAGTAAAGTTGAATTCTGATTAGCGTCGTGCTAAGTTTTCTATGGGTTGGCGCGCGGTGCAAGTAAATAGAAATAGATAAAAAAAAACTACTGTGAAACATTTTAATTCAGTGTAAATATTTTCAAGTATGACAGAGTTGTAAAAGTGCAGAATAAACATAACTTTTGCCTCTAATAAATACGTATAAAGTGCAACAAATATAAAATTAAAATATAAATGCATTTTCTATATATCTTTGCAACGTGATAGAGTTAGGGCGTTCTCTTTACGAAGCTTTAATCTCTGACAAAATTTTATCAAAGAGTATTTTCAACAACTGTTCCTGTTTTCAAATTATGAAACAAGAAACGGTTTATGGAAAGCTTCATTTCTAGTGACAAAATCGCCATCGCCCATCACTCAAGTCGCGAGTTTATAAACGGGGGTTGAACCGAGCTCGTAAATATGTCGGGTTTTATAGTTGTGCTCCCCTTAGGGCGCAGGGTTACGGCCCCGTTGCGCTAGGGCGAAGCGGATCGGGTTTTTTCTTCCCGTACTCCCTGATACCTCGATTGCTTATCCCGTGCCTGGGATGGCCACTTTAGACAGGGTAGGTGACGCGTGAGAAGAGGCGCTTGCGTGTATTCAATTTTAAGAGTTATTCTAATGTAGGTTTGCTTTTTATTATTAAACTAAGTGTAACATCTTCTTATCTAGATATCTTATTGTAAAATAAACTATCAAATATTTCGCTCTTAAAATCTAATATTCTAAAGGTGATACCAAAGTCGTTTTTTTATAAATAAACTTATAAGGTTCTTTCAATCGTGAATATTTCCTATAACTTATCCGAAATTCTAAAATAAATTCCCATCTCTTTTAAATAAAAAACATAAACAAAAACAAAACTCTTCACTTTTCGATGTAAATCCTACTTAATTCCGTACGGTTGAAATAACCGATAAAGTTATTGGTTATATCGTTAAAAAAAACTTGTTTAAGGGCCATCACTAGCATTGAGTCGATCTCAATAAAAGAGCACATCAATTATTTTATCGAGAGTTTATTTGCAATTAAAATGCTGGCATCAGTAGTTGGGTATTGAACAAAATACTTGAAATATACATACTAATGTTATGAAACTGAAATTGTCATGTCTGCTAGTTTTGAAAAGATACAAACATGTGAGAATACTTATTTAGTTTTTTAATAGTACTCGGGAACAGTTAATTAGTTGTTGAAGCCCGCATGCGTTGGGCGATATTCCTTACTTAGCCTTACAGTGCATTATACTCAACTGAATATCGGTGCCTTCAAGAGAAGGGTGAATGGTTACTTATTAAATTAGTGCGTAACATCCTTCGACCACATTACTTCAGGTGGGATCGTGGTCAAGCGTTATTTTATACATCACTGGCGGTCCCAGTGCGGCCCCATCCGCATAAAATTATAAAAATATTATTATATTGTTTACAATTGTCAAATTATGGTCCCTTTCCCACCATTTTTGTTAACCAATTTATTTACCCCTTAAGTTTAATAGCTTGAAAATATATAGCCTAAAGCGTGACGTAAGTGTCGGGCTTTTTA